GTTTTTGCTATGGTTCTACACCATGAATCGTTTTGCTATATACGGAATGCAAAAGTTATTTCTATTTAAAACAAGGAAGTTTAGTATAATTTAAATGCAATACGTGATGTGGTTTTGTTTGTAAGTTTTACTGGTTATTAAAAATTAATCAGTAATATGTTAAAGTATGAATATATTTTCGTGATGCAACATTAGCTTGGGGTCGAAAGGCGGAACAACAATCAAAAAGCGAATTCCACGAGTGGATAACCACCCCTTCTGGGGTGAACAAACGAACACATTAGGGTGGATTTCTTAGAGTGGATAAATGGAATAACCCTAAAAATGTGTTAGTGTGTATTCCCTGGTAAAAGGCTGGGGAAAAATTTCAGTTTCCAGTTTTGCTACATACGGAATGCAAAAATAACCCTTTCTATAAACAGAAGCGGCGGTGTAGGAATGTCCACCTCCCGTATCGTCCCGTGAGTGTGGAAAGAGACGACAGAGGGAAACTGTAACAGGAGATGGGCAGCAACATCCTCCTGAGAACAACTCAAAATAATAAAAATCTGCGGTTGTCAACCCGCGCGTGTGGTACTCTATGGGTGGGGCCCATGTTAAGCAGTGGACATTATAGGCAGTAATGGCTGGATGCATAAAAGAAAATATTCGGTCGGCAATTCACAGCGTTAATTATTTCAAATATATTTTACTTGTCGTCATATCGGTAATGGTTTGACATTAACTTAAGCACTTTACCATAAACACACAACGCTAACGCCTTTAGAAAATGAGGTTTCCTTTTAGAAGTGTTAGAAAAGAGTTTTTGATTTATTGTATTAAATTCCTGGCTCCTTTGTGTAATCATTGGTTTGACGATCGAGGCGAATGTTAAACTCGGATATTCTAATAATTATATACTATATTTTGATCGAGGTTACTATATAAAACGTTAAAATGCTCTCATGGCGTTAGATAGAAGGCGATATAATCATTCCCTTTGCAAGCGTAAAATAGACCGGAGGTAGGTAACAATATCAAAGCAAATTAAATCAAAAATATTTAATGTATTATTACAGATAAAATTATATAATATCTCAGAATATTTTACGTATGTTTGTCTTATATAGTGTACCTATTTCATAAATATATTACGTGGTAGACGTATACGTCTAATATATTAAATTATTAAGATATATCTTTACGTGGCAGAGCCACGCTGGAGCTATATTGTGGTTGCAGCACGAATGGGTCGGCTCGACCGGAACGACGCTCTCACAGAATACCAGCGTAAAATAGTAGCTTAAAACTGCTGTGTTTGTTATGGTGAGTGTAGAGAACCGAAGACCCTTTTTACTGGAAACTGGGCATTCTATCTCAGTCCTCAGGGCTGGCAACGCATCTGCATTTTGATTATTAATTGAAGATAAATGTAGATGTATATGGGCCACACCATCCACTTACCGTCAGGTGAACTGTGTCCTCGTTTGTCAATCTCATTTTATAAAAAAATATTAATATATAATTTCAATATATTTGAAAACAAAATGTATTGATTTAATTTTTTATTTTGCGACTCTTCGCGCAGTGTATAAAATAATAAAAAGCAATAAAAAGAATCGTTGGTGACAAATTGTATTTCTATGATATGTAACGTTAATAATAAAGTTATATTTTATGTTTTTAGTTTAAAGGGAATAGATACTACATTAACTCAGAGTAATGACATGTAATAAATTCTCTAATCTGTTTATATAATTACTCTGCGCATATTAAGGAACGATTTCTAAATGTCGTTTCATTATTTAACAGTTAAAATTTTTTGTTAAGTGTTGTAGTTTATTTTGGTAAAAGCACTTAAAAATATAGAAATAAAAAATCTTTACTTACAGAATACAGATCAACACAATATGGTTTATTTGAATTGTCGATCCTAATAAAAATATGAGTTTAAAGAAATTTATTTTCAAAAAAGACAAACAATGCCACTTACATGAAAATAATAATTACATTTTTAGTATACAAGCTTATTCTAAAGGTCGCCGAACACTCGGTCAGTAACTTCATAGCCTCAATTAAATGGTGAAAAATGTTCAATTACGTATTGTGATAACTGAGACTTAACTACTAAATGAGCTTACATTTTTATATTACAAGGCAATTTATTATAGATCTGTGCTCCCTCAAAGGTAATGCTTTTTTTTGCGTAGTTTTTTCGTACCTTTTGTAGTACAAGTAAGCTGCTGTAGTAGAAGACTGCGTTTACAAATTTGTAATTTTTTTTTACAATAGACAAGTTAGTATGGATGGTTTTATCTAGTATTTCCTAATTATAATGCAAGTATTATATATATGTAGTTGTTGAACGTTCATAAGTTTTTTTTTTCTTTGAAAATTTTAGAAGTTGCTGTTAAATAGGGATAGTGAAAAAGTATTTTTATGATTTTATTTTGTATTCTTTGAAGTTCCTGTATCTTAGTTTTAGCAGCATTACCCCAAATTTCTATAAGATAAAGTAAATGAGATTTAAGTAATGAGTTATAAATAGTGTAACGCATTTTTTTAGGTAGACAATGGGAAATATTGTGAAGTGATCCAGTAAGTGCCGAAAGTTTACTTTTAATGTGATCTATTTGCCTATTCCATCTTAAGTAATTGTCCATTCTCAAGCCTAGGTATTTTTCGCAGATTTTTTGTTCTAAGCGGATGTTATCAATTGTCAGTGGGTCATGTAATGGTATAGTTTTGTTCTTTGCTTTAAAAATTATGTAACATGTTTTAGAAGTGTTTACCGTTAGCAAGTTATATCGGAACCACTCAGACAATTGTTCTAGAACTTCTTGCGATTGCAAGATGATATCATGTATTTTAGATCCGAAATAAAATAGACATGTATCGTCAGCATACAAAGTTAGATGACCATGTAATCCTAGCTCTGCGATTTGGTTAATATAGACTAGAAATAGGAGTGGCCCAAGTAAAGATCCCTGCGGCACACCATGCGTGATAGGTAAGGCGCTACTTTGAAAATTATCCAGCACACTACTTGCGATCTATTTGATAGGTATGTTTTAAATATTTTAAGGGCACTACCTTTGATTCCGATGCTTTCAAGTTTTTCTAATAGCAATTTGTGACTTATAGTATCAAAGGATTTTTTTAAATCGATAAATACACCTAAAGCCACTTGCCGTTTATGTATACTATCTTTAATTTTCGTTGTTATATTGATTGTTGCGGTAGTGGTGCTACTTTTGACTCGAAATCCATATTGCCGTTCTGATATAAAGTTAAAAGAATTTAAGTAATTTTCTAAACGATTTTGTATGACTTTTTCTAAAATTTTTGACATGACCGGCAATACCGATATCAGACGATAGTTTCCTGGGTCGGTTTTAAGTCCCGATTTATAGATTGGTGTTATCTTTGCAATCTTGTTAGTATCTAGAAACTCTCCATCGATCATAAGTTTATTGAATCATTGAGCTAAGTCATGTGCTATCAAATTTTGTAGGCACTTTATTACTTTTGTGCTAATTCTGTCTATGCCGCTACTAGAATTCGAATCGAGGCTTTGTATAATTTTACGAATTTCACTAGCAGTACATGGGGCTAGTGTAGAAAATTCATTACAATTAGCTGTTTGTGTTTTAGAGAAAGTATAAGTGGAGCTACTATGATATTTCTTAGGTATTTTACCTGCTAATTGTGGTCCAATAGTTGAAAAATATTCGTTAAAAATCTCACAAATCTCGTTTTGTAGAAGTAGAAGTAGAAGTTTTGGAGAAGCACAACTTTGTTTTATTTTGTTGCTTGCTAGATTGTTTATAAGTTGCCACATTTTTTTGGGTTATTAGTATAATTTTGAAATAGTTTATAATAGTAGGAATTTTTCGTATATTGGATCTGCTTAGCTACTGCATCTCTCTTCAACTTAGACTCTTTTTCTAATGATTCATTTTCTCGATTATTTTTGTATTGCATCCACAAATAGTTTCTTTGACTAATGCCAGTAAGTATATTGTTATTAATCCAGTCTTCTTGTGGTGGATTTAATATTTTGGTTTTTATTACTTCATTGTCTTTAACGTATTGTTTTAGTTTAGTTTCCAATTGACTGTCTTCTTCAAATCCGTGTGTTTCTATCGAGTATATAGTTTCTTATAGTTGATTGCTTCATAGCGTTTACGTATTTTTTTTGGTGGTTCAAATCTGTTTAATTGTACATAAATTTGTTTATGGTCTGTCATAGGTGAGTTGATCATAACAATATTGAAATGGTCACCTTTTAGGTTAGTGCTAACATGGTCTATGATCGATTTCTTCATGGTGGAGTCTCTTGTACAATAGGTTTGGTTTATTTTGTTGAGTAATCTATATCCTGATTCTTTGACTATTTGCTTGTACTGTTTTAATTTATTGTTTTTTGTCAACAAGTCAATGTTGAAATCTCCGAAAACTATTGCTCTCCTGTGATGCTGTAATTGTTTGTCGTACGTATGTCCAGGATAATAAACCACGCCAACATCTAGAGCAAATTTTTGAATTTTCAACCATAAATAGTTATTTCCGTCTTGGTAAGTCGATTCAATAAGGTTATGTTTTAAGCTGTTATGTATGTATTCTGATACTCCACCTCCTCTTATATCCGTCCTGTAGTTGGAATAAAGTGTGTAGTTAGTGATTTGTAGTTGTAAAGTTTGATTTTCGGTCTGTATCCAAGTTTCTGTGAGCAAAATAATATGTACAGTTGTTGATATTGATTTTATAATGCATTTAAGTTCATCTAGTTTGCCTTTCTTCCGAATACTACGAGCGTTTAAGTAGAGAAATGATAAACGTGATCTTTTAGTCTGGATAAGTTGGTAGTCGTTAACTATTTGATAGTTTATGGTATCGGGTGAGGTGTTATTTATTATTGGTGATTGGAGTTTTTTGAAACCGATTTTATAATACTTGGTATGCCGTTGACGTATTTCATTATGAGATCACTTTCTCCATTTTTTGTACGTCGTGAAAGTTCATCTTTTATCTTCATGAAGTATTTCATTTTTGTTGAGCCGGTCCGAAAAAATGTTCAGTACCTTGGCTGTCTCTGGTTTGTCAAAGCAGACTTTAACCCTTCGTTGTTTTCCTGGATTATACTTGCCAATGCGGAAAATCTTATTTGGTTTCGGAATATCTTTTTCTATTATTGAAGTAATGTTTAAAACCTCAACCTCGTCTTTGAGGATCCGCTCTTCGGTGCTGGTAAAATTTTGTTCTGATATGCCAACTATAATTATATTATTTTCTCTCTTTTTGCGCTCTTGGACTTCGCGTCGAATTATTTGTTCATTTACAAACAGCTGATTAGTTTGAGTGGCTGGCGAGCTTAACATAATTGTTTAAAGTCGTTTTCAAGTAACTTTATTTTATCTTCACCGTTTGACACTTTTGACTGCAACTGCGATAACTGAGTTTTTATATGACTATTTTCTATAGAAATTTTTGACGTGGCGGTCTTAATGTCTTAGATTTGCATACTAATTTCTGCTACATTAGAGTTAATCAAGTTTCTAGTTTGTTCATGCGAGGCCCGTAGATCGGTAATTTCATTCTTAACTTTAACAATACTCTGGTTCATTTGACTCATTATTTGTGTATTTGACCCAATATAATTTTCTAATAAGGAAATTATTCGTGATAACTTTTAATCTCATCCGAACATTGGCATTCACGTGTACGTTTTCTAAAAGTAATTTGTGTATCGGAAATATTATCTGCCGGAATTTTTGACAAGTCAGGTTGCGAGCCGCCGGCGGCAGTAGGTGGAGATCGCATTATATTCATTGTTGCAGTTGCAAAGAAATATACAATTTAGTTTACAATGATGCAAACAAACTTCAAGAATTGTTTGTTTACGTAAGATAATAAATACACAACTCACGCGCAGTACTGTATGCTTAGACACCGGGTCAGTGTGTGAGCGAGTCAAAAAATAGCCACTGTACTGGTCCTGCGGAGGTGAAGTACATCGCCCCGCTCGCTGGTGCAGCTTTCGATGCTTGGATACAGTATTTATCTTCACTTTAAAAGGGTTTTTGTCATAAATCACCTTTCACAGGATTTAAGTTCGATTACGTTTGAATATAAGAAAAATATTTGAGGAGCACTATTTAGATGTTTTTCGCCAGAATTAACACACGTCTACTCAGTACAGTAGTTCACCGAGGATCAATACGAAACGAAATAAACAACGAAATATATAAATAATATTTATAAAGTCAGTAAATAGGTAAGTATATAGATTGATTCAACATAATATTTATGTTAAATTATTATTACGCTAGTTTTATACTGGCTATCTAATAATAATTTACAAATACTTACATTTTACAAATGGATTTAAATTTTTCATTACAATTTTGTTATAAAATTTAATATGAATATTTTTTAATTAATTAAATATATAATCTAACCATTAAACATAAGATTACGTCATTTAATCTTTATTGTCCATAAACTTTTGTAAGCTGTATAAGCATAAAGGTGAATCTGGAACTGCCGAGCGTGCGGATTATGGAAAACCCTTTCTACAACAATCCCTTTGTCCAACACTGATAATGTAGATGAAAGAATTATACCCATTAAAACCTATCAAAATTCACTGCCAATTACAGGCCTCCCTCATGGTTTGCCTCATATTTGTAATGGTTGCCACTCTACATATACGATACTATAACCTGCGGGATGTTATGTCACTTTCTCTACGGGATGTTATGTAATCTTCGGTCAAAGGAGTTTCGAAACGGTTGATCTCAAAGATGTTTTATAGGTACCTATAAAACATCTTTGGGTTGATCTGAACAAGGTGGCAAAATTAAAAATTTTGTACAACCGACTTCAATGTAATTAAAATGAGAACATCATCATTGTCTTCGGAGTCAATTAAATACGCACTATTAAGGATAACTCAAAAACTACTGGTCTAATCTTGATCAAATTTATATGGGATTATACGAGGAGCACCAGCTTTCAAATAAAAAAAAATCGTCTAAATGGGTTCACCTAGAAAGTACAGAGGCAACACACATTAAAAGAAACGAGTGTGTTTATGACCACACCACTGAAGTAAAACTTCTTTAGCTCCATCTGTATATAATCTGTACATACTTTTATAATCTGTTTATATATATATATATATAAATATATATATATATATATATATATATATATATATATATATATACTCACCGGCACGGAAACTTGGCCAAGCGGTTATCTCGCGATAGCAAAAGCTTTAAGTGTTTCTGATGAATGTTTGTTATGCAAGTATGTCAAAAAATGTTTACCCTCAAGTTCAAGAGGGTAATTCATTATGTTTAAGTGCACCATGACGAATTCTTTAATTTTTAGTTGAATCGGGTCATTTGAGCGACTAAGTTCACATTTTAAATTTGTGTGTTGTGAAAAGTTTACTGTAAGGTTATTCAATTATTGTGATCTTGTGTCTTAATTAAATAACTAAAGGTGCTTTAAAGCCAATAAAAATGCCATTAACACCAGCACAAGTTGCACAAGCAGTAGCATTAATTGACCAAGGGCTGACACAGCGTGAAGTTGCTATTGTGCTTAACGTACCACGGTCCTCAATGCAGTATTCACTGAAACGATACCAGGAGACAGGCCGCTACACCCGCAGGCCAGGCAGTGGGGACGTAAGGTGCACATCGGCCCGGGACGATCGTTTTATTGTTATGGAGATTTTGAGAAACCGCTACCTGACCGCTGTTGAGATACGCCAGCGGCTCCAAATCGCAAGAGGCGTTAATGTTAGTGAGCGTACGGTGAGAAGACGAATGGAGGAAGTGAATTTAAAAGCTCGTAGACCAGCACGAGGTCCAGAACTTCTCAGACAGCACCGAGTAGCCCGACTTCAGTTCGCAAGAGAACATGTCAATTGGACCCACGAGCAATGGGCTAGAGTGTTGTTCACAGATGAGTGTCGAATAGCTTTACGTGCTCCAGACGGTCGAGAACGAGTGTGGAGAAAAAGAGGAGAGAGGTTTCTACCCATTACCACCACCCAAACTGTGAGTTTCCATGGAGGCTCAATAATGGTATGGGGAGGTGTAAGTTCCGACGCACGTACAGAGTTGGTCATCGTCGATAATCGGCTTACAGCTACTCGATACATCGAGGAAGTTCTTCAGGAGCACGTAATGCCTTATTCGGGATTCATTGGACACGACCAATTCCTCCTCATGCACGATAATGCACGCCCGCACGTCGCACATTGTGTAGAGGAATATCTGGAAGAGGTTGGAATACAAAAATTACAGTGGCCAGCTCGTAGCCCGGACTTAAATTCAATTGAGCATGTATGGGGTATGCTCAAAAGAAAGATAAAGTCCAGCTCCAAACCGCCACAAACTCTAAATGAGCTCCGAAATGCAGCGCTGGCCGCTTGGGACAGCATACCGCAAGTTGATGTCAGAAACATCATTCAAAGCATGCCAGATCGAATGCAAGCGGTTATCAGGGCTAGAGGAGGAAACACCCGATATTAAAACTGATAGACAATAAACAGACTTAATTTTTAACTTTGTAGTGTTTTTAAAGTGACAATGGAAAGATGTTAATTTTAGTCAAAACATGTTATCTTGAAAAGAAAAATTTCGGTGAAGTAAACATTAAATTTCTATGTTCTAAAACCATTAGAGACACTTATTGAATGCATCTACCCTTAATTTACTGTTAAAAAAACGTTTCAGTGCAAATAATCAGCAAATTCACGAGTGGCCAAGTTTCCGTGCCGGTGAGTGTATATATATATATATATATATATATATATATATATATATATAAACAGGTTATAAAAGTATGTATATATATACATACATATGTATATTTATGTTTATATTACATTTAAATACATATATTAATTTTCTACGAATATTTAAATTTATTATCGGCTTCCTTCCGTAATTTGTAATTATTCACAAAACATGAACTTTAGAATGAATTTACAATTTCATTTACTTTAATGTATTGGACAAAATATTAATTCATAAAATTGTTAAAATCGAAATAAAATTACGAAAAATAACTGGCTATGAGAGAAAGAAAATGTGCGCGCGCACTGCTCTCTTTTGCTTAAATCCCCCACTCTACTCCCATTCGCCTTGCCCGATCACACTTTTCGTAACGCTTTCGTTACGCGCTCGCCAGCTTACTCCCCAAGTCAGGCGTGCGTAAAGAAGTTTTACTTCAAAAACAGTCGAAATAAGAATCTCCTCCTTTATTTTAAGTCGGTTGAAAACAGACTTGTTTCTATCAAGAAGATAAATATATTGTGTGTATTTTATTTCATTTCATTAATAGAACCGTAAATACTATTAGCAACCGAGAGCGAAGCAGGCGTATTGGTAACAAGGAACAATGCCTCGTAACTCGTAAATATGTTACGGTTTGATTATTTTGAGAATTCCGCGCTTTACGAGCTAGCTTCGTATCACGATTGTGAAGTGTGGTGGAGGGAGAATAATTTCAATTTCTACTAATGAGTTATCGTGTACTGGTCGTGTAAAATTATCCACTACCATCATCCATATCCACTACCATCATCCATATCCACTACCATCATCCATATCCACTACCATCATCCATATTCACTACCATCATCCATATCCACTACCATCATCCATATCCATTACCATCATCTATATCCACTACCATCATCCATATCCATTACCATCATCCATATCCACTACCATCATCCATATCCATTACCATCATCTATATCCACTACCATCATCCATATCCATTACCATCATCCATATCCACTACCATCATCCATATCCATTACCATCATCCATATCCACTACCATCATCCATATTCACTACCATCATCCATATCCATTACCATCATCTATATCCACTACCATCATCCATATCCATTACCATCATCCATATCCACTACCATCATCCATATCCATTACCATCATCCATATCCACTACCATCATCCATATCCACTACCATCATCTATATCCACTACCATCATCCATATCCATTACCATCATCTATATCCACTACCATCATCCATATCCATTACCATCATCCATATCCACTACCATCATCCATATCCATTACCATCATCTATATCCACTACCATCATCCATATCCATTACCATCATCCATATCCACTACCATCATCCATATCCATTACCATCATCTATATCCACTACCATCATCCATATCCATTACCATCATCCATATCCACTACCATCATCCATATCCATTACCATCATCCATATCCACTACCATCATCCATATTCACTACCATCATCCATATCCACTACCATCATCCATATCCATTACCATCATCCATATCCACTA